TCTGCGTGACTAAAGAACCCATAAATCAAGTGGCTTGAATGTAAACAAAGTCTTGAAGTATTTGGCAAGAACTGGATCAAATTCTGTTTCAATTAATATTGATTTCTTCTCCAACAAGAAGATGATCTCCCATACTCTTCCTGGATTTGAGCCCATAAGAATGAAATTAAAACTATGTAATATCTGTGAAATATCCTTCTTCACTGTGGCAGAGGACAAACTCTACCTGTGAATCCAGGGGGGCAGGAACACTGATATCCTCCAAATCTGTTGATGCAGCTTCCTCCATGCAAGCAAGGCAAAGTTTCACACTCATTTACATCCATTTCACAGAGAGACCCATAGTATCCATGTGCACAATTGCAGAGGAATCTTTAAGAAAGGAAAAACCAGATAAATCAACAAAAATAAACAATATGTTTGATTTCAACATTGTAAAGCAATCCATATGTTCTGTTGTCAAGATGTGAACCCCTAATCACCAGCCATGTTAAAATAACTGACAGAGTTTCCTCATTTCCATGTCTCTGAAGTAAACAGAGTGATTTACTCTTTTTCTGAATAGGTAAGAGAACTATACGCAAAAAATACATCTGAAACTATGGGGAACGACATAAGGGCTTAAGTTCTTCTGACACAAGTCTCTAAATGACTGCAGAATGCTGTGGATACAAACACGAAATGCAGCATTTTCCCTTGTTTACAATTTATAATTTATTAAACATTTACATTAGAAAAGGTAATTGTTTGAAGCCAAAAAGGTGGAAAACAACAAGTATGCCTAAGCCAGTTTTTCTTTTATTTTCCTCCTGGAGCACAAAAGAAGCTAATCCCTCTATCAGTAGTTTTTGCCTACCTTGTCTTAACACAGGACCCTTGTCATATGCTGTAGGCCTCATCCAAACCTCCAAGCAGTGAGTAGGCTTTGTAACTGAAGAAACCTGATTTTTTTTTCCATTTAGTTGTAGTAACTAACTTACCTGTTTATGAGATCTAGGCAAGTTCCATTATTTTTGCATGGTCTTGATGAACATTCATTTATCTCCACTTCACATAGTGCTCCAGTAAAGCCATGCTGGCAGGTGCATCTAGGAAAGAAAGTTGTAATTTTTTACTTTTTAGTTTTATCTTAAAAAGAAAAAAAAAAGAGGTGGATTTTGAAGGGTGATAGCAGAAATGATTGAATTTCTTCTAGTCATTAGAAAATGCTATACATTAGCCTTTTCTCCCCACAGTCACTGCCTGGCAAACAACAGCCTTTTGTGTGCACAGGGTGGGCAGCGCCTGCTCTCACACTGCCCCTGACAGCCTCCAGCTGGCAACCCAGGAGAGGGTAGTGGGTTGGTGTAAGAAAATAATCCAAGTAGGCCCAAGCATCCCACCACAAACACGGCACTACTCCAGGTGAGGACCTCTAGATGCTGGTGACGCGTCAGGACTCCACTCCTATTGCCACCCTTGCTCTTTCCAAGCAGACTAAAACCATTGATCCCAGGAGCTAGACAGGCTTTGGGAGAGCGATCATAACGCCAGAGGGCGAGGGTAGATAATTTTAAGTTTTCTTGTGTAACATTTTTAACTGTTTTGCATTAATTTTGACTATGAGTATTAATGTTACTTTAATGGCACTAATAACAACTGCCTATTATATTTTGATTAGACTGTGAAGTTTTTAAGTATCCTGACAACAAATTCTCCTGTTCACCTATATGGTGAGCCGTAGCAAGACTTTGAATATAGTAGCAGAGTAATGAGTCAAATCCATCACAGAAAAATATAAATAAATACATAGGATTCATTACAGTACTAAAGACCTGCAAAGACAATAGAGACTAAGGTCCACAAAACTAGCTAAATGATAAATACCCCTGTATCCCCCTGTACTGACTGGTGATACTTTGAACCTACTGTTCATAAGCATTTTCCTTACCTGTAGTGGTTAACCCCATCCACACAAAGCCCCTGATGCTGGCACGGATGGGAGGCACACTCATCCGTGTTAACTTCACAGTTAGTGCCTTCAAATCCTGAAACAGAGATTATGCTGAACATGAATGAATGGATTCTACTACATCATGTGAATACTAAGGGTTGTGGATCCCCTCTGAGCTCAAGATTAACTCAGATAATGCATATGTCTGGTTTCGAGAAACCTCAGCTAGTCTTGAATCTTTCAAGGGCTGGAAAAACCTCAGGGGTGACCACTTCTTCTCTTAGGACATGAAAATAAGCGCAGGCTCTTTGTCCTTGGCGCCCAAATGAACTATGCTGCAGCCATGCCCACCTCTTGCCATGCACCCTGTGGATCTGTTCTTTCACCCAGGTCTGTGGACCAGCTCTTTGGCTTCACCTCATCCTTGCACATCCTTGCACTCATGCCTGGTGATTGGGCGACACAGGCCCTGGTTCTCATGGGGGACTTCAACTACCCTGACATCAACTGGAAGGACAACACAGCCAGACACAAACAGTCCTGGAGGTTCCTGCAGAGCGTCAACGATAACTTTTTGATGCAGGTTGTGGAGGAGCCAACGAGGAGAGGTGGGCTACTGGACCTCGTGCTAAGAAATAGAGAGGGACTTGTAGGAGATGTGAAGGTGGGGGGCAGCCTCGGCTGCAGTGACCATGAGTTGTTGGAGTTCAAGATCCAACGAGGAGGAGGAAGGGCTGTAAGTAGCCCTGCAACCATGGACTTCAGGAGGGCCAACTTTAGCCTCTTCAGAGACCTCCTCAGAAGAATCCCATGCGCTAGAGTTCTAGAAGGAATTGAGGCCCGAGAGAGCTGGTTAGTTTTCAAGTGGCACTTCCTCCACGTCCAGCAACAGTGCATCCCT